CTAGACCATCTATTGCTAACCACCTTCCCAAAATAAACACTCCTGAACATACAACATATTAAATAGCTACTTCTGAAAACATGACATATACCATATTAGTTAATATGAAAATAGTTTACAAATAATTTTGACAAGTACCTGTTGATCACTATTTATGTGCCAGGTATTCTATTAAATGCTTAGCTATATTGGACCATAATCTATACAAATTTTCATGAATTTCTTTGGGTATTCGATTTTATAGAGTTTAACCAGGTGTTACCCTAAACTTTAGTAGTATTTCTATACAATTTTAAATATAGAATCAGAACCCATACTGAATTATATTAAGATATTGAAGTTGCTGGAATATGTTATTTAACATGTTCATCAAGCATAGATACTCTGAGTTTCCTAAATACCTAATTTGCACAATTTTTCCATTTGATAGTATCAGTGATGCTCTCAAAATTAATGTGAGGTTTGGGGGCAGTGCATACTCTGTGATCCAACTTTCCCCAGATTCAGCAGCAATTGCTGAATTTGTAGAAGATCTTATCTTCAGTCTTATTCCTAGGAAGGCTAATGGCAGCTTTGTCTGTTCTGATCGGAAGCTCTTTATTTCTAACCTTGCTAGAGGCCATATACCTACAAAATAAACCCTGGCCTGGCCTGCTTTTCATAAGAGTGATGTATACTGCAAACATTATGGGGGTGTGATGGGTTTGTAAGGAACATGTAAGTTCTTTAGTGATTATATTAATTTTCTTCCTCTCTCTCTCTCTCTCTCTCTCTCTCTCTCTCTCTATGGGCTAGAGATATGTTTTATGGTCCCCATTCCATGTGTTAAGTGAGTCTACTCAAGTACTGGATTCCAGCCTCCTCTCATTACAATTCTGTAATTAAAAACTTTAAAATGTTACATTTTCTTACCTAATCCTCAAAACACAGAGATGTTTTAAAGTCACAAATGCTCTAAAGCTATGCTGTTCAGTTTAGAAGCCACTAGGCACATGTGACTCTTGAGTATATGAAATATGGCTAGTCCAAGTTATGTTATAACTGTTAAGATGTGTCAGAAGACCTAAATAAATACCATACTTTCAAGACTGTGTGTGGAAAAAATGTAAATTATGTCATTAATACATTTTGAAATGATATTTTGGACACATTAGGCTAAACCATATTATTAAAGTAATTTCACACTTATTTTTTAATGTGGCTATAAGCAATTAAAAATGAGATATATGGTTCGGTTCCTATATTTGCATTAGACAGCACTGCTCTAAAAACTGCAAAGCCTCTGGTACTGGAAAGAATATCAGGATTTTTGTTTAGAATTACATGAGATACTTGAGTGCTTTTTGTTTGTTTTTTCATAAAACTTTTATATGTTGTGAACTAGATAAACAGAGACCAGATGGTTGCCTGAAAATTAGAAGCACAGTTGGCTTGTACAGAAGCAAGCTAAAAAGGGTAATTAGACCATGGTCAAAAGACTGAACAAAGTTAAAAGAAAAAAAAAAGAACAAGACCAAGGTAAATTAAATCAATGAAATTATATCAGTGTCTAGGATGATAACATGCAATGAGGGAGACAACAGTAGATACAGACAGGGAAGGACATGACAGAATGGGGATGTTGATAATGACAGGGCTGGGTAACCCCATGCCTTAGGGGTGAGACAGTAGGAAAGAAGTTAGGTAGAGCTGCTAAAATCAGTTACCTGATTCTGGATTTTGGATCTATCTGGTCAAGATGTAACTCTCTTCCCATCCCTAAGAACCATACTGTGAAATAGACATTATAAATATAGTGAACTCCATTAAACTTGGGTGGTCTTATTACAAACCTTCATTAATATGATGAGCTAAGTTCTTTGTTATTTCCACTGTGCCCATGAAGAAACTGAGGTTCAGAGTAACTTGTTGAAATTGCAAACCTAGTAAGAGACAAAGTTAGATTTTAACACAGTTCTATTTCATTCTAAATCTCATTGTTATCTTTTGTGTTCTTCCTCTTCTTTAGAAGAAGATATGTTTTCTGCCTTTTAGTAAATCTTTGCCTAGTGAAGAAATATTTATTTTGTTATCGTAAATTTTAAATTATGTGTGCGTTAAAATCTGGACTCAATATGTCCTTTTTGGTTTGTTTGCTGTGCTTTTAGAGACACGCAGGTTTGACTGTGTTATTTTAAAATGTGCTGGGTATGGGAACTGTTTTAGTGTAATTTCTATTCAGAGAAGTTTGCTGCCTTGTCTTTGTGTAGCCAGAGAAGATCTTAAAAGACCCATATGTGTGATCAAATTGGTCTAAGGAACATTAATGGTGTCTGGGGTTTAGAGCAAAATGATTCTCATTACGGTATTTGGGGTTGATTGCTCAGTTCAGCAAATGAATTGCTTCAATTGTGTATCTTCCTTGCTTTCTCTTTTTTGTCATTTCTGAGTTTATTTTGATCAGATTTTGTTCTCACTTTATCTGATCTTAATTGTAAAGAACAGGGTCTAACTCAATTCTGTAATTTCATTATTTAACCTAGTACCCAGCACAGAGGTGATGCATTGTCATCCATTTATAATATTAATACAGTTCTATTCAGTGAGCTTTCAACAAATATAAATTGGCTACCTTTTTATGGGCTACCTCTACAGTTTACCTCTATGAGATATAATAATGCATATGGCTGCATGCCATTTTTACAATCTGGCGGAACACAGTTACACATCAATGAGATAAACCTTGCCTGTGTGTAAACACAGGCCTTATGAAAACATCTTAGGAGGACACTTCACCGGGTTGGGTGAATGAATGTAAAGATTTTCAGAGAAAGTGATATTTGAACTGACAGCTGGAGGAAATCAGGAAGCAGGAAGAATGGGTTAGGGATCTGGTGGAAGAGGAAGGGCATTCCTAGCAGAAGGAAGAGGAAATATAGAAACATTGTAGATCTGCAATTCGTTCAGTCTCAGTTTGGTTGGAGGGTATAACTGGCAGAGAGGAGAGTAACTGGAGTATGAAGAGGGAAGAAATTAAGAAAAAATGTTTAATCAATGTTGAAGGAATCATTTTAAAAAGCAAGATATCGAACAATACAATTCATTGTGAATTTTTGAGATGATTCATTTACAGTATAAATTTTGATCACTTTGTCTTATAAATATAATTTTTTAAATCCAAAAGATGGATTTCAACCTGATAATATTAGAGACTTCATATTCATATGCATATTTATCATATATCCACTTCATTAAAATTCTACAATCTGCCCTATACTTATCATTAGGGACATTTACCTCATGATAAATGGGCTTCATTAGTAGTGGTTTGAGGCATTATTATTTATTAATCTATGAAGGTTATAAAGAATCTATTAATTTATTTATCCAGGAACAATTACATTAAATCTCCAATACTTTCTAATTCTTCGAATGAGGCAGCAAATAGTGTACTTTTTCTATTCTTTTAATGCTTGGTTGCTACGTTTAAATGAAGGCTAAAATTAATTAAATTTGTTAATTTGATCAATCAGTTTATACATTTGGAAGGACACAATAGTTTTGAGTAAAAGGATTGCATGATGATGCGTACGGAAGCCCCCGTTTTAAGTCTCAGTCCTTTGGCAAACATATTGTTTTCTTTCATTGGTCAATTAGGTTCTCTCTGCTTCATGTAATCAAACTTCAAAACTGGCATAACATAGTCTATGGGGGTGGCTTATAAGGATCAATGACCCAAATATAGTTCATAATGCTCCAAAAAATAATATATTAATTTATAAACGTATCTGAAATTTGATACTTTTTTGGGTGGTTTGAAAAAAAGTTAATAGACATTTAACTTTTTTTTTTAAAAAATTAAATTTGTATATTAACTGCTAATGAATAAAGTTCATCTGTAATATTATGATAATTGAAGCAAACTACTTTGTGTCACAATACACTCTTTTCTCTTTTGTACTTCATAAATCAATGATTCTTTATGTTTCTGAACGTAAAAGTCTGCCCCAGGGTAAAAGAAAGATTTCTCACTTGCATTCCTATTTTCAGTCTTTATCACATGTAATGCTCATTTTGCAGACTGTACCTGTACTATGTACACATGGAAATTAAGGTGAGCTTAAATAAATATAATTTTTATAAGTGACCTTTCTCTTGGGGTTAGAAGACTAATAAAAATATCAGCCACTTCTCTTGCTTGACCGAGTTGAAAGGGAAATGGAGAGATTAATGAAGAGACTGATGGGCATTAGAATGAACAAATGGAGTAAGTTTCCTCTCAGGCTCCATCTCTCCCTCTATAAACATTTATTGGGCAGCTACTATAAAATCAAATATAGTAAAAATGTCAGAAGGAATCAGTCGTTACATACACTCCTTTATTATTGTGAACTGAAACCAGATTTCAGAGTTTAAAATTATTCAAGAATATTCAGTGCATGCAGTCGTGAAATTTGATTGTAAGAGAGGTACGGGCATTTAGCCCTTCACAGTAAACTGTATCCTAAAGCCACTACAAGAGATTCACCTTCTCACCCTCACGTAATCTTTCTGCAATCACTGCTCGCAGGCCAACACTTGTGATGATTTCAGATTAGGAGCCTGGCTTCTTTGCTTTAATCAAAACCTATTCTCCCCTCTCTGCTCCTCCACCTCTTACCTTAATGAGAATGTAAAAAACTAGTTTTACCGGGGAGGGAGGCAAGGAAGGAAGGAAGAGAAGAAGGAAGGAAGGGATGGAGGAAAAGACTGGGCACTGACCCAAAGAGGGAGCGAAAGGAACTAAGGAGAGCGCTGTCCTTTCTTCTCGCGCCTGTTTCAGGCGCTCCCTGCCCGCCTCTCCCCGCCGACCGCGGAGCTGCACCTCCAGCTTGCTCGGCCCTCGGCCCCGCCCCCTAGCGTCCGAGCCCGGGAGCCTATCTCTTTAAATGACAGCTGAGGCTCGGGTCCCAGTCCGGGGCTTGACGTCAGTGCCCCCTCCCGGGCTGCGAGGAGTAGTTAGCGCCCCCGTCCGCGCTCGGGCCTCGCTGCGCGCTCGGTAGCCGCCGGGGCGGCGAGTTTCTTTGCTTCGGCCCCTCCTCCCGCCCGCCCCGCGGAGAGTCGAGCGGCAGCCCTGGAGCCTCTCGCAAGTCTCTCTCACACTTCCCCGCCCTCTCCCCAAAGGAGCAGCCGCTCCTTCTTGCCTCTCCTCTCCCGCCGCCGCGCCCGCGGAGCTCCTCTCCCGCGCGTCTCTCCTCGGATGGAGCTCGGGAGCCGCCGACGCCGCTGCTGCCCCGAGCCCTGAGCGCGGCCGTCCCGGCCGGAGGAACCCGCCGCCCCCCCCCACCCCGAGGGCGCCGAGCGCCGAGGAGCACGCGGAGGGCTTGGGGCGCCGGCTCGGAGAACGAGCAAGTGCTGCTCCTCGGTCACCGGGCCGGCGGCCGGGGGACTATGGCTCTGAAGGACACGGGCAGCGGCGGCGGCACCATCCTGCCCATTAGCGAGATGGTCTCCTCGTCCGGCTCGCCCGGCGCGTCGGCCGCCGCAGCCCCGGGGCCCTGCGCCCCGTCGCCCTTCCCCGAAGTGGTGGAGCTGAACGTCGGCGGCCAGGTCTACGTGACCAAGCACTCGACGCTGCTCAGCGTCCCGGACAGCACTTTGGCCAGCATGTTCTCCCCCTCCAGTCCCCGGGGCGGCGCCCGGCGCCGGGGCGAGCTGCCCAGGGACAGCCGCGCGCGCTTCTTCATCGACCGGGACGGCTTCCTCTTCAGGTACGTGCTGGACTACCTGCGGGACAAGCAGCTGGCGCTGCCGGAGCACTTCCCCGAGAAGGAGCGGCTCCTGCGCGAGGCCGAGTACTTCCAGCTCGCCGACCTGGTCAAGCTGCTGTCGCCCAAGGTCACCAAGCAGAACTCGCTCAACGACGAGGGCTGCCAGAGCGACCTGGAGGACACCGGCTCGCAGGGCAGCGGCGACGCGTTGCTGCTGCGCGGGGCGGCGGCCGCGGTGCCCTCGGGCCCGGGAGCGCAGGGCGGCGGCGGCGGCGGCGGCGGCGCCCCGGACAGGCGCTCGGGCTTCCTCACGCTGGGCTACCGCGGCTCCTACACCGCCGTGCGCGACAACCAGGCCGACGCCAAGTTCCGGCGCGTGGCGCGCATCATGGTGTGCGGGCGCATCGCGCTGGCCAAGGAGGTCTTCGGGGACACGCTCAACGAGAGCCGCGACCCCGACCGGCCGCCGGAGAAGTACACGTCCCGCTTCTACCTCAAGTTCACCTACCTGGAGCAGGCCTTCGATCGCCTGTCGGAGGCCGGCTTCCACATGGTGGCGTGTAACTCCTCGGGCACCGCCGCCTTCGTCAACCAGTACCGCGACGACAAGATCTGGAGCAGCTACACCGAGTACATTTTCTTCCGTAAGTCCGCAGCCCCTCCCCCACCGCCGGTTCGAGGCCCGCCGGATCCCTCCAAGGGGCGCCCGGGGCAGAAGCTGCTTAACACCTTAGCGTGAGCGGCTCTCCCAGCACAACTCCCTTAGGCAGTACGCCCGATTTCGTTTCTCCCCTTCGGTTATTTCCGTCTCTACTCCCCCTTTCTAGAACTCAGTAGCACCCAGCTCCCAGGCGTCTACTTCCTGAACTTTTTTGGTCTTGCCTTCTCGCCCCAGCCTGCTCCCGGCTGCCCGGGGGCTCCTCTGTTGCAGAGAACAGGGTAGAAGACACTGGGGCACACGGCCGGGCACAGAGACCCTCCTCCACCCCTTTCGCAGGACTCCTGGGGGTCATTTCAAGTGGCCTTCAGTGGTGTCCCTGCAGAGGGCAGGATGCCATCACAAGGCGTTGCCTTGCACCGCCTGGATCACCTGCTACTGGTGCGGCTGCTCCGGTTAGGGTGGTTTTCTAGGGGGTAGGGGAGAAGTGAGGAAGGTACCTCCAGAGCCCCTCCAGGGAGCGGGAGATCAGGAAAGCAGCTGTGGGGAAAAGGGGACTCCTTGACAGATGGAAACCCAGATTTCCCAGCATCATTTATCTCCAATGTGATTGTCCAGTGTTTGGGACAGGGAAGGGTGGAAGGAATTAGAAAGTTTGGGTGTCTGGGTGCTGCTCTTAGGGTTGGAGATTAGGACAGGGTGAGTGTGGAGGGAGGGAAGGAGGTGGGGAGGGAGGGGAAGACAGGCAGGGAATGGTTGTGTTTTCCTCTTGACTGGGAAATCTAGGGCTGAGTCTACTTTCTCAGGGTAAATAGAGTGATTTTCTGAAATGAGATCATGAGGGAATAGATTTGGGAAAGCATCCGGGATGCGTTTTGCAGTGCGCTTCCGGAGCGGGCTACTTGTAGTTCAAGAACTCTACCAAATACCGCTATCTGAACCTGCACTGGGGATTGGGGGTGGGGTGGGGCGGTGGTGGGCGCAATTCTCAGTGACATTTGTAAAGTGAAAAGGCAATGGCTAGAGAGCAATTTGGACAAATGGAAATCCAGCTGGGATGGCAGCAGGAACATTGTTTGGCAAAACGTTTTTCCTTTGGCCAGTCACAAGTAAAAAACCTGCCTGTAGTTTTAGGGAGAGTAGCCTTGAAATCCTGTGATGGAAACAGACCAGCTTAAATTGTATTTATTTATTTTGGTAATTCAGTCACTACAGTAATTGGAAACTGAACAATTTTCTGGACTTTATTTTGACTGGAGAAGTGGAAGGGACCTCGCCCTGCACAGGTGCAAGCTTAACTGGAAGGTTGGCTTAGTATTTGTGTATTCTGGTAACTTGGAGGTTGGGTGACAAGCCACCTCACATAGATTCTTAGAGGTAGACTGCTTTTTAAGGTAGTGCTGGATTCTTGAGAAAACAGTTTCAACAGAGAAGCAAATGAAGTGTCTGTCCACTGAATTGGTAGTTAAAAACCTGTCTTAATTATATCAGAGTATTATTTGTTACACAATAAAAAGATTAATGGTCAGAAAAGCCACCCAAGGGAAGATATTTTATTGCTTCTATAAAATTGACACCTCTCTAATATATATTGTGTAATTAAGTATTTTAGCACCATTCTTTACATTTTACTCCTTATCATTGCGACCTTTGTCAACAACTTTTTAGATTTTAAACCATTTAATTCATTTCAATGTAGATTTCCAGGCCTGTCAGAAGATGAGGTAAAATGAACTTTTGGCTTTCTTGTCGTGTTTTTTTGTTAGAGAAGATATAAGTATGAATGTTCTGCACAGTTAAGTTTGTGAAATTTTGAAAATCTTTCTTGGTTTTGGTCTTTCTTACTCCTCTAGAAAGATGTAGACACGAAAATGATTCTTACTTTGATTATGAAGACATAATACAAGTTATCTCTATATTGGAAAAAAATGCCCTTAGTGTATCGAAACTGGAAACTTAGCTAATTTAACTAATGAGATAAATTTGAGAGATATTTGAAATTCAGGGTCTGTTTCACTTCTAGAGCTAGAGAAGTGTTAAATAAAATATTCATATTATGAATAACTACTTTCAGAGTACTCATATTATTAATGACCTCTGAAATTCATTCATAAAATTCCCAGAAATCTAAGGAGGCAACCTACTTTGGGAAAGAATATGCAATTCCAGATTAAATATTGTTTTTTGGAAGTGGTAAGCTAGTCATTGATCAACCAAATAGAGTTGTCATTTTAAATTTTGGATGTACAACTTGTCTTGAATATTAGAATACATATATTTATTTTATTTTTTGCAGCTTTTATTATATTTTTTACACATCATTTTGAATGGGATTCTGTTTAATATTTGGTGAATGAAAATACACTGTAAAATATTTGTATTTCCATCCTAGTCAGTTTAGTTAATGACAATGTATTTATCTTATTTCGCAAATCTCTATTTAAAAAGGTTATTACTGTTATTCATAAGAGCAAAATTACTGGATGACCTTGTTTGTCCACTTGTTTTAGATGCAGAAAATAACCTTAATATCTTTTATTTCCCCTGTTGACACACTGTTTTTCAGAAAATACTTATTTGTTGTATGACATTTAGTGTATGAGAAGTATCAGTCACTTTAACACCTTTTAAAATCCGGGTTACATGTGATCTTAGTAGTTTGAAACTGTTGTAGTTTATACACCTGAGCATCAATTTTAATTCCTCCAACCTCCACCGCCCCTGCCACTCCTGAGTTTCTGCACTAGAGGGAAGAAAGTGGCAAATGGGTCAGTAATCCCAGACACTGCTATTTTCCAAATGTGTGACCTTGGTTAAATTATGTACTTGATCTCTTAGTTTCCTCAACCAGTTTTATAGAATTTGAGAATATACATATAGTGCCTGACTTATAATAAAATCTTAACAAATGTTAGCTGTTACTATTGTAAGTAGCATGTTGCTGTCTTTATTATTATTGTCAACATTAAATTTTAATTTTGTTTTATATTAAGTATAGTTAATTGGAAATTTAATAGAAAATCACTTTACAATTAAGTGATAGCATACTATACTTTCAGAATTATGAAATAACCAATAAAATAATGGATTTCTTTCCTTGAATATTGAACTTGAATTTTTCAAGCCAAGTCACTGAAGGTTGCTATTCATACTCCAATTGGTTTTTCTGGGTTAACTTCAACAGAACCTATTTCCTATTCAGGGCCAAGAAGTGTTTTAGCACTAGGACTTGAAACTTTGGCAATATATTTTGATAAATAAAGAGCTAGATTCATATCTCCTTAAGTGCTTGTATCCAAGTCATTGGGTTCTTATGCTCAAGGTTATATATAGTCTATTGAACTTTAGTATCAGCTTCATTTGGCTACATGAACACTTATATCTGTTCTCAGTCTTAACTCATTATTTGTCAAGTGTTTTTAGTACACTGCAACATATACTGGTACTATTAAATTCTATATTATTCTTCTAATGCTGAAGATGGATTGTCCTTTCTTGGGGGAAAAACAGTGATTTATTGTGCTTTCTGTATTTGGGGGATGTCTAGTAAGTGTCGTTGTGGCTACCTTCAGCAGTATCTGGGAGACAAAAAAAAAAAAAGACATTTTATGTTGACAATGTATTATATAGAAAATAGATAACGTGCTTGGAATGTGACAGGTAGATTATCCTGAGATAGAAACTAGCTTTATATGTTTCCTTTGTTTCTCATAATCAGTGAGTTTGCAGAAAAAGTAGTACTGATTTATTGCTCTTCTCTTCCAATAGTGCTTCAAGTTTTGAACTCCATATTTTGGTTGAGCAATGTATGTATGAAAGTACACCCTTCTTTAGGTTGTACTTGATATTCTCTAAGTTTGGTATATCTTTTTTATTGTTGTTGTTTGATGTATGAGAATGCCAGATCTAGGAATTAATGCTGTTACTGAACTGGGCTGTGAAACATAATTTGTCTTAATGGATTTTTATATCCATTCTTTCAAATTCATTATGATTTATTTCACTGTATTAGGTTGAAGAAAGCTAGTTGAGTTGAAAATATTCAAACAGCTATTCAATTCTGTGTTACCATGCTTGCTGAATTAAGAGCTTTCTAAGAAACATCTTTAAAAATCATTTTGTTTAGGCGCATACCATTAGATGTATCTTTTATGAGTCTAAAATACTTCTTTGATTACCAAACATCATTTTATGGAAGTTAATTTTATTGACCACAATTTTAAAAGTTGATTATTTTTTCTCTCAAGTTATCACTTATTTTTACAACTACAATGTGAAAATTTTCTCTGCAGCCACATGGCTGAATGATTTTGAATTAGTGGGGAATAAGCAAAAGGAGAAGATAACTTTAAAACATCAAGTTTATAATTTAATGCATCTAGTTCTAGTAATAAAGCAGACAAAGTGACAAAAATCTTGGAGAGCAAAAAGTTTAGAGGCTGTGCTATGGCACTGATTGTTGTTTAATGGTATCAAACTTTTGTATCTGGCATAGTACTGTCTTTGAACTTACTGAGTTTTATATGGCTATGGCTTTGGCTTTTCCTGCCACCCTTTTACAGCTTTGTGTGGGTCAATCTCTACACAGATAATGAGGCTGAGAAACTGAGTGGCTACAAGCTTTATTTGGTAAGGTTCTTTCTCTTGTAGCTTAGGATGCTAGTACTTACAATTTATGTACATGTGTGTATGAGTGTGTGAGTATACCTTAGTTAAGAAGAAAAAAATCTCTTTGGAAAAAAGGGAAATATGTATAAAGCCAGTATTTAATTATTGTCTATTCTATTGTCATAAGTTATCAGCTGGAATTTGTTTAAAAATGTGAAAATGATTGCTTGTCATTTAAAAGTCACTCATTTTATAGTTAATATTTTACATATAGTTAATGATACTCTATATTTTTAAGTTGCTAAGAGGGTACATTTCAAATGTTCTCATTGCAAAAAATAAGATTAAGTAACCTTAAAATTATAAAACTAGTACATG